TTTTTATTTGTAGTTCTACTTTATTTTCTAACTCATTTTGTTTTTTATGTTTTCTATATATGTGGGATTGCAACTTTCGATTATTTCCTGTTACGAAGTCACAGTACATGCAAGAAACATCCTTCATTGATTGATTTTTATTAGTTAGTTTTTGTTTATGGTCGTTGATCATGTGTTGAGTTACTTCGTATTCTGGTCCTGAGAAAAAACACTCGGTGTACCCACATGTAATTGATGTTTTACTGAAACAAAATTTAATGTTAGTTTTTAACAAAAAAATAAGTTCTTATGTATATACATATGTACCATCCCATACATGTATTTTAATATAAAAAGGCGCTTTGGCTAAGAATAATTTAATTAAAATATATAAAAAAAACTTAAATATGGTCAAATAAAACAGTCAAAAGATAATAATAAAATTTTATTTGCTTCAAGCGTATTTAAAATGTACAAGGTAAAATAATGGTAATATTAAATATAGATAGAAAAAACATTGCATGTTCTAAGACACTTTACCTAAGCGTGCAATATTTTATTCAACTACCGCAAGGAATTTATAACCAATTTTTTTGATATTTTATCTGGCATCTTACAACTGTCGAGCTTTTTTCCAATTTTAACTTGAAGCTAACTTCAGTCCGTGGGCGAAATGCTATGTCGCCCACCGGTAAAAGTTAAGACATGAAATAGGTGTTGAATAAACGAGTTAAACGTAACGTACATTTCCTTTATTTTCCAAGTACACCTCGTATATTTTTTATTGATGTTCATCTTTATGCTTCCTATATATGTGGATTTGCAACCTTTTGTTTTCTACTATTGAGAAGTAACAGAATTTGTATTGCAAATTTACTTTTTAGCTAATTTTTTTCTTTATGTTTCTTATAAACGTGGTTTTGTGAATTACGATTTTCCACTGTTGTAAAGTCACAGTACACACAAGAGTAAGTGTTTATATTTTTTGCTACTTTTGTTTTTTATGTTTGATATCAACGTGCATTTGTAAGCTACGGTCCTTCACTGTTTTAAGTCACAGTACACACAACTTTTTGTTTGGTTGTGTTCTGGTCCTGGGATAAAATATCTCTTGATTTGAATGTGAAAATATTGATTTTTTAAGCCTACAATTTAATTGTTTAATATTATAAATGAAACTAAATCAGTTATTTATTGTTACAAAGAACACAGGTTTTTATGTAACAAAATGTTTAAATTATTATATTTTTAGCGCTGTAAAGATAGTTCCTTAGCAGCAGAATGGAAATTGTACAATTTACGAGTATTATTTTTCCACAATTAACTTAAATTATAAGTTTTAATCGTTACATTAATAAAATATGCGCATTTTTAAATTATCTGCACTTTTACGAAGAAAACATGGCGTTTTCGAAAGGAATCATTGGAAAAGTATCAAAGTTAGGACCGTTTAAGTAAAAGTAGTAAAATTCAACTTTTTGTTTAATTTTGACTTTTATTTTTATTCATGGAGTATATTCTAGTTTAATATAATGAATTAACAATCCAAATTATATTTGTTTACACACTGTTTAAAATATACAAAATAAACTTAAAACTACTTTCTAAATATTAGGTATACGGTATCGGTGGGAAAATTCCGATTTTAAAGAAAAATAACTTTTATAAGAAAGAATTGAATCTTCACCTCGACAAAGTTTTTTGTTTTGAGTGCGTTCCACCAACTTCAAATACCGATAGACAGCTGTTTCGACCTATATCGGGTCTCATCAGTGTCGGGCAACTTGGTATAGTGGAACACACCCAAAACAAAGGACTAATAGGCGCTTTGTTCTAGTTTAAAATCGAAAATATCCTACCGTTTACAACGCTATTATATATATTTTACTCATTTCGTTCTTTATGTTTTCTATAGGTGTGTCTTTTCAATGTTTGGCTTCCACTTGAGGTGTAATCACAATACATACAATGGTACATTTTTATTTTTATTTTCGCTTTATTTTCAAAATCATTTTGTTCTCTATGTTTATTATAAATGTGCTGACCCAAAAACCGCTTCTCTAGTGTTGTAAAGTCACAGTACACACAAGTGAAAGTTTTAATATTTATTGCCACTTTATTTTCCAGCTCATTTTGTTCTTTGTGTTTTCTTAAGATGTGCATTTGAAAATCTTTGTTTCTCGGTGTTAAATAGTCACAGTATACACAAGAGTAATTTTTTATTTGTAGTTGCACTTTATTTTCCAACTCATTTTGTTCTTTGTGTTTGGTATAAACGTGCATTTGCAATGTAGAGCTTCTCACTGTTGTATAGTCACAATAAGCACAAGAGTTAGTTTTTATTTTTAACGCTACTTTCTTATCTAACTTATTTTGTTCCTTATGTTTAATAAATATGTGCACTTGTAAATCTTGTTCTTTTGCTGTTATATAGTCACAGTATGCACAAGAGTAAGTTTTTATTTGTAGTTCTACTTTATTTTCCAAATCATTTTGTACTTTGTGTTTGGTAAAAACGTGCATTTGCAACATATACTTTCTCACTGTTGTATAGTCACAATACACACAAGAGTTAGTTTTTTTCTTTAACGCCACTTTCTTTTCTAACTTATTTTGTTCATTATGTTTAGTAAAGATGTGTGTTTGTAAAATATGGTTTCTGGCTGTTAAAAAGTCACAGTACACGCAAGAATAAGTTTTTAATTGCACTTTATTTTCTAAATCATTTTGTTCCTTATGTTTGTTTAAGATGTGTATTTGTAAATCTGGATTTTCTACTGTTGTGAAGTCACAATATACGCAAGGGTAAGTTTGTATTTTTAGTACAACTTTATTTTCCAACTCATGTTGTTCTTTGTGTTTAATATATATGTGTTTTTGTAAATAATGGTTTTCCACTGTTGAAAAGTCACAGTACACACAAGAGTACGTTTTTATTGTTATTTTTACCTTTTTCTCTAACTCATTTTGTTCTTTATGTTTTCTACAAATGTGTATTTGTAAATCTTGGTTTCTCACTGTTGAAAAGTTACAGTACACACAAGAGTAAGTTTTTAAATGCATTGGTACTTTATTTTCTAAAGCATTTTGTTTCTTATGTTTGCTATGGATATGCATTTGTAACTCTTGGTTTTCCACCGTTACAAAGTCACAGTACACACAAGAGTAGGTCTTGATATTTATTGCCATTTTACTTTCCAACTCATTCTGTTCTTTATGTTTCCTATAGGTGTGTCTTTGTAAATGATGGTTGTCCACTGTTGAAAAGTCACAGTACACGCAAGAGTAAGTTTTTATTTGTAGTCTTACTTTTTTTTCTAATTCATTTTGCTCTTTATGTTTTCTATAAATGTGTGTTTGTAAATCTGGGTTTCTCACTGTTGAAAAGTTACAGTACACACAAAAGTAAGTTTTTAATTGTATTTGTACTTTATTTTCTAAATCATTTTGTTTCTTATGTTTGCCATAGATGTGCATTTGTAAATCTAGGTTTTCCACTGTTGAAAAGTCACAGTACACACAAGAGTAGGTTTTAATATTTATTGCCATTTTACTTTCCAACTCATTCTGTTTTTTATGTTTTCTATAGGTGTGTTTTTGTAAATGATGGTTGTTCACTGTTGAAAAGTCACAGTACACGCAAGAGTAAGTTTTTATTTGTAGTCGTACTTTATTTTCTAACTCATTTTGTTCTTTATGTTTTCTATAAATGTGGGTTTGCAACCTTCGATTATTTTCTGTTGCGAAGTCACAGTACATGCAAGAAACATCCTTTTTGGTTTTATTTTTAGTAGTTAGTTTTTGTTCATGGTCGTTGATTATGATTACTTCGGATTTTGGTACTTTAATTGATGTTTTACTGAAACAAAATTAAATGTTAGTTTTTAACAGTTAATATACAACTAAAAGAAAACTTTAATATGGTCAAATAAAACGGTCAAAAGACAATAATAAAATTTTATTTGCTTTAAGCGTACATAATATAAATATGCACTCTTATGGAACACTTAATAATATTAACACAATATCTTTTCACTAAAAAAGACAATATAAAATATCTTAGAAAACTGTTTATAACTTATCCATATATTTTAGGCTTAGTTAAAGGTTATATTCAGGTATTGCATGATCTAAGACACTTTACCTTAAAATATTTAAAACATGAATATACCTTAAAACATACCATACGTGGATATGCAGTAGTTGCATTGCAAACATGTTTTAACAAGTACAACAGTAGTATATTGTAAGACTAGTGGAATGTCCTCTTTTGGCCAATAGTTGCACACAATATTTGATTCAACTACATTTTTTCTGGCAGATTACAAGCTTTAGAGTTAGAGTTCCACACAAGAGTGAGTTATTGCTTTTTTAGCTTTCTGTTTTCTATAGATGTGCTTTGGTAATGTAATGTTTTCAGTCGGTACATACAAGAGTAAATTTTTATTTTTATTGTCACTCTTTTTTTCAACAATTTTTTTTTGGAATTGTTTGCTAAAGAGCAAGTGGTTTTTAACATTTTTTTCCCGCAGTTTTAAAGTCACAGTACACACAAAAATAAATTTGTATCCTATAAACGTGGTTTTGTAAATTACGATTATCCACTGTTGTAAAGTCACAGTACACACATGAAAACGTTTTTATATTTATTATATCATTATTTATGTTTCATATAAATGTGGTTTTGTAAATTAAGGTTTTCCACTGTTGTAAAGTCACAGTACAAACAAGAGTACCTGTTTATATTTATTGCCACCTTATTTTCCAACTCATTTTGTGGGATAAAATATCTCTTGGATGAGCGTTTAGTTGTTTTTTTACTGAAACAAAGAGTTGTTAGTGTCACTATATTACTTTTTAGCCAAGTCGTGTGTTTGGTCAAAAATGCAACATTGACTTTTTGCCAAGGATGTATAGAAATCATCGAAATATGAGGCGTTTTAGAAAATAATCTGTGGAAAAGTACCAAAGTTATGACATTTTATGTAAAAGTCGAGGTAAAAGTAGTAAAATTCAACTTTTTGTTTATTTTTGACTTTATTTTTATTCATATGGTATATTCTAGTTTAATGTAATGACTTAACAATCAAAAAATTATTGTGTTTACACACTGTTCAAAATTTACAAACTAAACATAAACTACTTTCTAAATATTGTATTAGGTATACAGGGTGATCCGTAGAAAAATTCCGATTTTAAACAAAAAGATTGAAATTTATTTTGTATTTTGAATTAATATATAATTTTGAAAAATAGGAAACTTATTTTAGTTTAAAATCAAAATTTTTTTACCGGGTACAACCATTGCTAAGTGGTTCTTTTCAATAGGGATATAAAAACAGAATTATTTTTTATTTTATTTTACTCAATTCGTTCGTGTTCTTCTTGTTGTTTTCTATGTTTTCTATAGGTGTGTCTTTGTAATGTTTGGCTTCCCGTAGTGGTGTATTCACAATACAAACAAGAGTAAATTCTTACTTTAATTTCCGCTTTATTTTCCAACTCATTTTGTTCCTTATGTTTCTTATAAATGTGGTTATTTAAAAACCGCTTCTCCACTGATGTAAAGTCACAGTACACACAAGAGAAAGTTTTAATATTTATTTCCACTTTATTTTCCAAATCATTTTGTTCTTTGTGTTTTCTGAAGATGTGCATTTGTAAGTCTTGTTTTCTCGCTGTTAAATAGTCACAGTACGCACAAGAGTAAGTTTTTATTTGCAGTTCCACTTTATTTTCCAGATCATTTTGTTCCTTGTGTTTGGTGTAAACGTGCATTTGCAATCTACAGCTTCTCACTGCCGTATAGTCACAGTACACACAAGAGTTAGTTTTTATTTTTAACGCCACTTTCTTTTCTAGCTTATTTTGTTCCTTGTGTTTAATAAAGATGTGTGTCTGTAAATCTTGGTTTCTCACTGTTGAAAAGTCACAGTACACACAATAGTAGGTTTTTAATTGGATTGGTACTTTATTTTCTAAATCATTTTGTTCCTTATGTTTGCTTAAGATGTGTATTTGTAAATCTTGGTTTTCCACTGTTGTGAAGTCACAGTACACGCAAGCGTGGGTTTTTATTTTTATAACCACTTTATTTTCCAACTTATTTTGTTCCTTGTGTCTAATGAACATGTGTTTTTGTAAATAACGGTTTTCCAATGTTGTAAAGTCACAGTACACGCAAGAGAAAGTTCTTAATTTGATTGATACTTTTCTTTCTAAATCATTTTGTTCTTTATGCTTTCTATAGATGTGGTTTTGCAACCTTTGATTTTTTCTTGTTCCAAAGTCACAGTACATGCAGAAAAACTTATTTTTAGTTGGTTTTTGTTCCGTTTTCATGTGTTTTGGTCCTGAGGAAAAACGCTTCCTTGACGTTTTACTGAAACAAAACTAAATGTTAGTTTTTTAACAAACAATAATTTCTTTTGTATACTATAACAAGAATGTATTTTAAAGATGCTCGTAAAAAGGCGCTTCTCTTCAAATAATTATTAAAATAAACGATATAAATATAAAAAACTTAAATATGGTAAAATAAAACAATCAAAGTACAACAAACAAATTTTATTTGCTTTAAGAGTGTTTATAATTTTGTTCTTTGTGTTTTCTAAATATGTGCAATTGTAAATCATGGGTTTTTACTGTTGAATAGTCACAGTACACACAAGTTTTGATTCTTTTCCAATTCATTTTGTTTCCTATGCTTTGTAAACCTGGTTTTCACTGTTAAAAAGTAACAGTACACACAAGAGCACTTGTTTCAAAAAAATACTTTAACAAGTATTGTGTAAAATGTTTCACTAATAATAAAAATTTAAATAATTCAAAAAAATATAAACACTGCAAACAGGACGAACCCAAAAACAAATGTAAATTTTTAATTCATGTAGATTATTGCCCACTGTGCAATCATATTTTGCGTCAGTTGTCATAGATCAGGAACAACCAGTGGCGGCCCAAAATTTCTACTTAAAAAAATTTCAATGATTTTTTTTTTATAAAAAAATGACTAATGAAAAAATGATAGAGGAAAAACTTTCATATTTCCCCTTAGAGGATGAAAACTTATTTGGTTTTCAACCGCTTGTTATCAATTTAATGATATTATTGCTTAAATATTTTTAAAAATATAAAAAAGATCTCTTTTAAGTTACCTTTTATAAATAAAGAAAAAAACGTAAACAAAATAAAATTTTATTTAAAACTTAATGTTTAAAATGTACAAGATAAAATACAAATTCAACCTCACAAAAACTTCATAAAAACAGTATGTATATATATAAATAGTTATATCTCATAGTTCATTTAATTTCTAATCAGAAAAATTTGGATACAAATCTACAGGGTGCAACTAAGTGTCTATCCTATAAGTATTTTTTTATTTAAAGATCTACAAGGTGTATTATAATGAAATTTATTAATTGGCAAAAAAAATATTTAGCGGTTTAATTTGAATGAACAATTATTCAGTATTTCAAGAAATTGTTGTATAAACGAAACAATACACATATGGGTGATTCTACAAAAGTTGGGCAACTTTTGTTTATATAGTTTTCGGAGAAAATTAAACAGTATTTTTTATGAGAACATAGATAATATAATAAATATACTGTTCCAGACCGGGCCAGTCATTTTTTCAAACAGTTTCTGTGTTTTCTAAATTTGGATGCAAGGGAAGTGACGAGTATACCAGGGTTCTAATTAAATACATAATGTATTGGAAAATATAAGATTTATTGCAACTTTGAGCATATTATGCATTAAATATCTTAAAATCAAATAATACCACACATCAGTGGCGGCTGGCGGATTTTGGGTATACCGAAATCTCAATTATTAGATATGGGACCCACACCAAATTTATATGAGTTTATAATGACATTAAATAAACAAGTTCTGCGCAAGCAGAATTTAAATTGAAGTTTGCGAAAAAAAGATAACCGAAACATCGAACATGGAACTGACGACACGGTACTGATGAATGGGATACAAATTTGAGATTATAATTCGGAATTAAGTATTTTACTGGTATTTTTTATTAGTGGATGCTACTAATCAACAAATCACATATAGCCTTACATAAATTACAATGAAATATATATATATACGTAAGAAAATAACTACTCACCACAGTACTGAAATTTTGACTGAAACTATACGTGCATTAACCACAACTTCGCCGCTTGCATTGTTTTCAAGATGACTGTCGTGCAAAGGGCGGGCTCTTTAGGCAATTTTTTACCAACACTTGAGTTAAACGAGGACTTGACGTTTAAACTTCAATATTTCGCAGGAATTTTGAATTTTAACATTGGACACAGAACTGACGGGTAAAAGTGAGTACAAAGATAATCAATTTTTTAAAAATTGCTATTTTTCGAATCTATGTTAAAATATGAAAAATACATTATTTAATGTTTTATAGTTTGTAGTGAAATTGAAAAATTTAAGATAAATTGAATATATTTTAAAATAAAATCACTCAAATATTTGATTCAGGAGTTGTGACACGCCAAGGTACTTTGAATATTTATTATGTTTTTCTACAAACGTGCTTTTGAAAAAATCATTAAAATTGGGTGGATAAGTTCAAAAAACCTGGATCTTTTGTAATATACTAAAATATTTACAAAAAATATTAAAATACCTACTCTATTGACTGATGACTGATGAATCACCCATATAAAAGAAATACTTCTTTACAAAACTGTTTAAAAATTAAAATCATTTAAAAAAGTAAAAGGAAAAATTGTTGAGGATTTTAATACAAACTTTCAAGACAGTTTTGTGTAGTTCTCAACCTTTTTTAGTATCAAGTATTTAAGTCTATTAAATTTGTAAATGATAAAAAAATTAACCAAATAAAAATATATATATAAAGTATTTTTCTAATTTTCCTCTTTGTGTTTGCTATATATGTGGTCTTGCAACCTTTTATTTTTCACTGTTGTGAAGTCGCAGAACGCACAAGAGAAAGTTTTAACTTTTATTTTTACTTTATTCTCCAAGTCATTTTGTTCCTTATGTTTGCTGTAAATATGGGTTTGCAAACTTTTATTTTCCGCTGAGGTAAAGGCACAGTAAACACAAGAGTACGTTTTTATTGCCACTCTTTTTTCCAAATCATTTTGTTCTTTATGTTTGTGGTATATGTGGTTTTGCAGCCTTTGTTTTTCCAGTGTTGTGAAGTCACAGTACACGCAATAGTGAACTTTTAGCTTTATATCGACTTTATTTTCTAGATCATTTTGCTCTTTATGTTTTTTGTAGATGTGGATTTGTAATTTACAGTTTTCTACGGATGTATAGTCACAGTACACGCACGAGTAAGTTTTAATTTGTATTGGTACTTTTTTTTCCAACTTATTTTGTTCTTTATGTTTGCCATAAATGTGGTTTTGCAATCTTTGGTTTTCCACTGTTGAAAAGTCACAGTACACACAAGAGAATGTTTTTATTTTTAGTGATACTTTTTTTTCCAAATCATTTTGTTCTTTATGTTTTCTATAGATGTGGTTTTGTAACTTTCGATTGTTTATTGTTGCGAAGTCACAGTACATGCAAGAATAATCCCTCACAGATTGAGTTTTATAGGTTAGTTTTTGTTTATGGTCGTATTCTGGACCTGAGAAAAAAGATTTGCTGTATTCACATATAGATGATGTTTTACTGAAACAAAATTAGTTGTTAGTTTTTACCAAAAATATTATAAAAAGGGTTTAAGTAATAAATACACAGAAAACTATACATTACAAATTACAAAATTACAAATAAAAAATAATGAAGGTATAATTGCTTTATTTAGGTTAGGTTTTTGGGTATTTAAACGGAAAAACAAAAAAAAACAATATACGAATACCCAGAAACCTATCCAAATAAGCATTTAAATGCAATTTTAGAAATTTAACAATGCCGCAAAGGTAAACCTTCTGAATAAGCTTAAATTTAACTTATTTAAGTACTATATTAAGCCGTTTAAAAAAAGGATTAAAATAATATTCTAAAGCGTTTAAAATTACTGATTCAGTATACCTAAATAAACTACCACATGCACTATTAATTATTACTTAGAACAAATGACGTGACAAAGTAATTAAAACGCTGACAATGGTAAACCTTCTAAATAAACTTGCACCTAAAACAATATTAACACTAATTTAATGCAATTTAAAAATGACGTGTTTTAAAGCAATAAAAATCTTTTAAAAGATTTTAAAATGCTGAAAACGCTCCTTATTAGAAAAAATACATTAAAATGTATTAAAATGCCATATCCAAGCATTTAAAAATGCTAATTTACAATAGCAAATTTGCAATTTAGAGAATTTAAAAATGCTGATTCGGAAAGGTACACCTTCTAAATAAGCTTAAACTTAACTTATTTAAGCACTTTATTAAGCCGTTTTAAAACAAAGGATTAAAATAATATTCTAAAGCGTTTAAAATTGCTGATTCAGTATGGTACCACCTAAATAAACTACCACCTGCACTATTATTCATTACTTATAGACAAATGACGTGACAAAGTAATTAAAAAGCTGACAATGGTAAACCTTCTAAATAAACTTGCACTTAAAACAATATTAACACTAATTTTATGCAATTTAAAAATGACGTATTTTAAAGCAATAAAAATCTTTTAAAAGATTTTAAAATGCTGAAAACGCTCCTTATTAGAAAAAATACATTAAAATGTATTAAAATGCCATATCCAAGCATTTAAAAATGCTAATTTACAATAGCAAATTTGCAATTTAGAGAATTTAAAAATGCTGATTCGGAAAGGTAAACCTTCTAAATAAGCTTAAACTTAACTTATTTAAGCACTTTATTAAGCCGTTTTAAAACAAAGGATTAAAATAATATTCTAAAGCGTTTAAAATTGCTGATTCAGTATGGTAACACCTAAATAAATTACCACCTGCACTATTATTCATTACTTATAGACAAATGACGCGACAAAGTAATTAAAACACTGAAAATGGTAAACCTTCTAAATAAACTTAAACTTAAAACAATATTAACACTAATTTAATGCAATTTAAAAATTACGTGTTTTAAAGCAATAAAAATCTTTTAAAAGATTTTAAAATGCTGAAAACGCTCCTTATTAGAAAAAATACATTAAAATGTATTAAAATGCCATATCCAAGCATTTAAAAATGCTAATTTACAATAGCAAATTTGCAATTTAGAGAATTTAAAAATGCTGATTCGGAAAGGTACACCTTCTAAATAAGCCTAAACTTAACTTATTTAAGCACCTTAGTAATCCGTTTTAAAACAAAGGATTAAAATAATATTCTGAAGCGTTTAAAATTGCTGATTCAGTATGGTAACACCTAAATAAACTACCACCTGCACTATTATTCATTACTTATACCGTACCTTCATTTGCAAGCTAGGGAAAATACATTGTAACTGGACCAGATAAGTCTTAGTCAGCACGAAGCGAAAAACGTTGTAGAAATGATTTGGACGCGTGGACGAGTAAGCTAGCATGCGCCGTAACAGTTGACCTTGCTTCATACATCGATGCTTTATTATTGTTTTGTATTTTGTGCGGTGTAAATCTGGTAAAATTTGTTTTAGTACGCATGTCTCGACGACGCATCCAAATCATTTTTGAGAAGGTTCTCGCTTTGTGTTGACTGCGACTGATCTGGTCCAGTTGCAATGTATTTTCCCTATGGTTAGCTTGCAAATGAAGGTACGGTAGACAAATGACGCGACAAAGTAATTAAAACGCTGACAATGGTAAACCTTCTAAATAAACTTGCACTTAAAACAATATTAACACCAATTTAATGCAATTTAAAAATGACGTGCATTAAAGCAATAACATGCTCTTTTAAAAGATTTTAATTTTAATGCTGAAAACGCTCCTTATTAGAAAAAAACATTAAACATTTATTAAAAAGCCATATAAAATGCTGATTTCCAAGCAATTTAAAATTTAAGAATGCTGATTCGAAAAGGTAAACCTTCTGAGTAGGCTTAAACTTAAATTATTCAAGCACTTTATTAAGCCGTTTTAAAACAAAGGATTAAAATAATATTCTGAAGCGTTTAAAATTGCTGATTCAGTATGTACGCCCAAATAAACTACCACCTGCACTATTATTCATTACTTATTAGAACAAATAACGTGACAAAGTAATTAAAACGCTGCCTTGGTAACACCCAAAAGAATGAGCCCTACTTAAAAAAATAATCATCCAAAATATCCTAAATTAAGCAACCAAAATGCTATACAAAAGCATTTAAAAATTCCGATTTTCTTTATTAAATCTTATTGGACAGATTAAACTTATTTAAAAAGTCATATTTAGCATTAAAATGTTATTTCAAAGCATTACAAAATGCGAATTTGCACTGGTAACATATACACTAGCACTTGCACTATTAAAAATGGCGTAACATTAGGTATTAAATTGCTTACTAAATGCAAATAAAGTGGCACTTTCCAAACCACTTAACAAAAAAATGCGAAAACTAATGTAAAAGTATTTTAAAAGCACTTTTCTCACACCTAAGTGACGCATTAAAATATTAGTTTGTAGCATTTAAAAATGCTGATTTAGTATGGTAAAAAATAAATTAACTAGCACTTGTACTATCTAACAATATATACTAGCAATAAACCGTGTGTTAAACTTTTTTTTTTAAGTTATTTTTAGCTTTAAAATTCAATTACGAAGCATTTAAAAATGCTGATTTGCACTGGTAACATATAAACTGGCACTTTTCCAAAGCTTAAACTTAACTTATTCAAGCACTTTATTATGACGTTTTAAAACAAAGGATTAAAATAATATTCTGAAGCGTTTAAAATTGCTGATTCAGTAGGGTAACACCTAAATAAACTACCACCTGCACTATTATTCATTACTTATTAGAACAACATACGTGGTAAAGTAATTAAAACACTGACGGTAACACCAAAAAAATGAACCCTACTTAAAAAAATAATCATCTAAAATATCCTATATTAAGCATCCAAAATGCTATACAAAAGAATTTAAAAATTCGGATTTACTTTATTAAATCCTATTGGACAGATTGAACTTATTTGAAAAGTCTTTTTTAGCATTAAAATGTTATTTCAAAGCATTTAAAAATGCCGATTTGCACTAGCACTTGCACTATTAAAAATGGCGTAACATTAGGTATTAAATTGCTTAAAAAATGCAAAAGTATTTTGAAAACAGTTTTCATCAAACTCACACTTAAGTGACGCATTAAAATATTAGTTTAATATGGTAAAACATAAATTAACTAGCGCTTGTACTATCTAACATTATTTACTAGCAATAAACCGAGTGTTAAACTTTTTTTTAAAAGTCATTTTTAGCATTAAAATGCTATTTCGAATGATTTAAAAATGCTGATTTGCACTGGTAACATATAAACTGGCACTTGCACTATTAAATAAAGCAAATACACTGGCACTTTTCCTAACAACTTTTTAAAAGTTTTAAAACGCTGATTCACACGGGTAGACCTCCTAAATGAACTGGCACTTCAACAAATTTTAACACCAATAATAAATACTTTAAGCCATTTTAAAATAACGCACAATTTGGGATTACAATGCCATTTTAAAGCATTTAATAATGACGATTCACAATGGTAATACCCAAATAAACCAACACTTGCACTATTAAAAACACTAATTAGAAAAAATCCATGAAGCATCGAAATGCTACATACAAAATCCTTTTAACATGGTGTGATATTAATCATTAAAAATCCTAGATCAACATAAACACATGCTTGCCATTAGGAATTACTCAAATTTTAGCATTAAAATGGCAGTTTATTTCTAGTTTATTACTAAATGCTACCACGCAATGGTAGCAGATAAATGCTGATTCACAATGGTAAACCTTCTAAATAAACCTACACTTACCCAATTTAAAACAATAAAATAATATTATATTTTATAAATTCTGATTCAATATGGTAAACCCAAATGAACTAGCACATGCTGTATTAAAAATTAAAAGTAGGAAAAATGCAACACAAAATAAATAAAACAAAGTAAAAAACAATGATTCACAATGGTAAACCTGCACTCAAACTATTTATTACACCACAATAAAGTCATTTAAGTAATTAATATTTTTTTAGAGTTAGGCCTTTAAAAATGCTGATTTACAATGGTAAACAAGCACTTGCACTATAAAATCATCTTTAAAAATATGGCAAATATCCCAAATGAACTTGCACTGTAACTAATTTACCAACACCGTGTGGGCTACACATCACTAATAAAGAAGTTAATTTAAAAATGACAGTTTCGCATTTAAAATGCTGATTCACAATGGTAATACCTTTAAAAATTGTGCGAAACAAAGCATTAAAATAATATTTTGTATCTATTGAAAAAGCTGATTTACAACCAAATAACAGTTATATATATATAACAGTTAGAGTTACTAAGACTTGTACTATTAATTAAATGCTGATTTTCAAAAGTAATAATCACATGCACTTTTAAAATTACTATCTATTTAAAAAAATGGCGTTAAAGAAAACCTGATAAAAAAACACATTTAGTTTTATTTTGGCTGATTTTTTTTGTCAATTTATTTTTTAAATATTAAAATTAAGAACGTAGTT